AAAAGTGCAATTTTCGGCCGATATATCGGTGCATCCCTAATTAATATAAATGTTGCCTCCCCTCAAAGAAATACAAACAGTGGCACCTTACATTGGGGAACACACTGACCTGTATTTTATAACCAGGATCTCCTCAGCAAATAGGGGATATAGCAAGTGTACTTCCAGGTGCTCAAGATAAATAGCAGGAAGGAAGGAAGGAGAACTATGAGGTGAGTGAAAATCACTTCGCCTCATAGTTCTAGCCGACGTGTGACAATGAAACTGTCACAGGTCGGCTCAATAGAGGGAAGTGAGCGAACACATACCGTCGCTCACTCACTTCTCGATCCTGTCCCTGCAGAGAGCGGTAACTGTCACTCACGGCTCCCTGAAGGGATTCCCCATCTCCCCTGTCCGATCCTCCAGCTCTGACTGGCGGAACGGACGGGGGAGGGGGCGGGTACAGCTGGCTCTGCCTCTAGATAGGCAGAGCCAGCTGTCACTCACGCAGCTGGGTGGATCCAGACAGCATTGCTGTAGCTCGCGGTATACTGAGCTTTGGGTAACGGGGGGACGCTAGTTTGTGTCCTCCGTTACCCTTAGGAGAACTATGGGAAAAAAGCCCTAACACCATAGTTCTCCTTTAATAGAAAATGATCGTGACTGACCCGAGAATAGAACAATTACTGTCTGTCAAGGAGGTTTGCCAGTATGGATGCCCACTGTAATGGATCCATGTTCTGCTGGTGCAAATGATCTAAATTCCACATATAAAGGAGTTTCTACAGTGTGAATATAGAAAAAATAGAAGAAGAGGGATAAAACCAGAAGTCATACCGTCACTGGGGTGCATTTTATTAGTCTTCCATAGCCTGGAATCTGAAACCTAGAACGAGAAAAATACTATGAGGTAAATAAAAGGACACTGTAAACATGGGACATACGGTAATACAATATTGCTTCCTGTCATCTATTTTATTCCAAAGTACAGGCAGTCCCAGAGTTACCAACATCCGACTTGCGTACGATTCGTACTTAAAACGGAGGCTATATAAATCCCAGGAGCCAGGTCGCCAGTGCTCCTTTAGTTCACACCTAGGCCTTTTTGTCGCTCAAAGCAAAGTGCGACAAAACACTCAAGACAAGGAATTAGGGCTGCAACTAATGATTATTTTCATAATCGATTAGTTGGCCGATTATTTTTTCAATTAATCAGATTTTAAAAAAAATACCATCCTTAATTTAAAATAAAATACATAAATGCAGTGTTACTTCAAAATAAAACTACCTGCACATTTTTTGCAATCGCACTGCACTGGAACACACAGCATTGTGGTACCGTGCGGGCGCACACACTGTGAGTGGGAGGCGCGTTTGTGGTGCCATGGAAATGAATGGTACTGCAACACACCTCCCGCAGCAGAATTTGTGAGACCGAAACCAAAAATGACTTTTTTCCCACCTTTTATATAAATATTTTTTTAAATAATTGTATTGTAAGCACATGGTGCTGGAATAGCTTCAGCCCGGGAATGACAGCTGCCAGTGGCAAGATTCTGCAGATGGCAGCTGAATGTAAATACAGCAGGTAGTGGGCTGGTGCAGTAGCCAATAGCAGGCTGGCTATTGCCCCTGCCCACTGCTTTCTGTGCCCTCCTCCCAGCGTGTAGGAGAGAGCTGGGGGATCCAACTAATCGATAATAAGAATAGTTGACAACCATTCTCATTATCGATTAATTGATTTGTTGGTTGCAGCCCTACAAGGAATCCTATTCATTTCTAAGGCCGCTGTTTACACCTGTGAGTTTTACTCGCACGTTTTGTCACACAAACTTTCCACAAACATTGAAGTCTATGGGATCAAAAAGCATTCATGTACTTTTTTCACCGACAGGCGCTTTTCTGTGTGTGACAAACCGCTCAGGTGTGATCAGGGGCCATAGAAATGAATGGGATTTCTTGTCTTGAGCTCTTTGTCGCGCTTAGCTTTGAGTGACAAAACGCCTAGGTGTGAACGGGGACTAAAAAAAATGACAGCCGGGGCCTAACTTTTGAGGTTTTCTCTTGTTGTTATCAATGGAGCTGCCTCCTGGATTACACAGATGGCTCCTTGATCCCATATGAATCTGCCCACCCCTACATTAGGGGCATAGGCAGCTTTAAAAAGCCATCAGGGGTTCTAAAACGTCTGCACTACATCCAAAAGTGAGAAAAAAAGGTTTTGGATTTAGGTGTGTTAAGCTGAACCTGCAGATACTAGTTACATTCAATGACTGTCCCCGCCATCCCAGCCTCTGACTGGAAATGCTTCAGCAAGATGGAAAACCCAATTATTATTATTATTATTTGTATTATTATTATTAACATTATCTGTATTATTATTATTGTTTATTAATGTTTTTATTTTGTATCTCAGTATACCACGAGCTGTAGCTCGCGGTATACTGAGCTTTGGGTAACGGGAGGACGCTAGTTTGTGTCCTCCCGTTACCCTAAGGAGAACTATGGGGAAAAACACTGACCCCATAGTTCTCCTTTAACAATATAAGGAAGACATTACAACTCAATACAAGATGGTTAAGAGGGCCCGGCCTGCGAAATTGAAAGGCTGCGATATTCGCTATAGAGCCGTCATGGCAATCGTTTGTCACTCGTGTGATGTAAATCGTATAGATTTATCTATAAATCCGTTTGGTTGTTATTTATTTTCTCACAAAAAAAATATGTCATAAATATGGATTAAACGGCTTTATGTTTTGTGGACATTTCAGTTACGCACAACACTCGCGCGTTCTTCTTCTTCTTCTTCTGGTACTGTGTACCGTTTCTCCTCGGTCACTCAGCCAATCTCGGGCAGAAAATTGGACTTTAATTAAAACAATCTGGAGCATTTCCCTTGTCTATTTCCTAATTTAATGTTGTAGCCGATACCTGAGTGGGCCGGGTCACAAAGCTGGATTGCAATTACCGCAGATAAAAATCTTTGAATACATTATAAAGCCGGGATTCTTATAAACTTATACGCGGGAAGACATTCATACAATCGTAATTCCCAGAGCAAAAGCCATTTCCCTCAAACCAGAAAACTAATTTCCCGAGCAATTACTTGCTGAAACCGAATATGAAATCTAAAATACTGACTGTGAATTTTATCCATCAGCGTTATGGACGTGGAGTCATTGAGGGGAATTTATCAAACCTGGAGCAGTTGCCCATGGCAACCAATCAGCTTCTATCGTTAATTTTCAAAGCTAAACTAAACAAACTGAAGAGAGAAGCTGACTGGTTGCCATGGGCAACTGCCCCAGATTCTGTCGGCTCAAGTTTTGATAAATGCCCCTTTTTGTCTTGATTATTGTTGTGTTAGGGCCCTTGCTGGGGGGGGTGTCCAGTGTGTTAGGTACAAGTTAAGGGCCCGTTCACACCAGATGCAGTGCGTTCTAGCCCGATTCTGGCCAGAACGCACTGCCTTGCATTGCGGCCGGCTTACTTTTTTGTGGGGCAGGAGGGGGTGTGGCGGGCCATTGAAGTGGATGGCACCTTAGCCACGACCTCCGGCCACATAGCGATCGGCCGTACGGGATCGCAAGGCATATTATGCCTGCAGTCTGGTCCGGTGCAATCAAAATAGTGCTTGCAGCAAAATCCATGGAGGAGTTAGATATCAGCCCATCAAAGACCAACAAGGAACAGAATGAACAGGAAGTAGACAGAACTTTACCTGTGTGGCATCCCCAGGGATACTATGCAGGAGCACAGGAGGAGTGATGAGGAAGGGTGAGGATGATGTATGATCAGAAATATTATGCAGGATCACAGGGTGACGAATGATGAAGGATGATGTGTGATCAGAGTTATTATCCAGCTGCACAGGAGTGATGATGAAGGATGAGGATGATGTATTATCAGAGTTATTATGCAGGATCACAGGATGACGGATGCAGGATGATGTATGATCAGAGTTATTACGCAGGGGCACAGGAGGAGTGATGATGCAGGATGAGGATGATGTGTGATCAGCATCCTTGAACTCTTCTCGGCTTTGCTCCCAGACAGAAGTCCTGATCCCCTCAGCTGGTATGGACATTCTGGTGGGAAATGTGAGTGTCACATAGACAGCAATGCACAAAGTGACACCACATGGGTGAGTCCTGCCCTGCCGACCTAGGACTGCCATCTATTCCTGGTGCCGGGGACCCCCGGTCTCAGCCATGGTCACATGACCGCCCGCACTGGTCCGGTGTCACATCACATCGCAGAGTGAAAACTTTCTTCTACTTCCAGTACAGGAAGAAGCTGGAGCAATGTGTACAGGGATTGTGTGATCCCACCTCCCCGGCCCATAGTAATCCGACCCTTCTCCTCCCCCCCCCGGCCCCTCTGCTCTGTGCATCATGGGAGTTGTAGTACAGAACCTGAACGGAAACTTTTCTGGAGCTGAAATTTCTGTTATCTCCGCGGACTCGTGTGCAGTCTAGACCGTTGTCAGCTCAGAACGTAGGACTTGCTGGCAGGGCGCTGGGGCTGGGTAGCTCAGCGTAGGACTGGCAGATCGCTGGGTAGCGCAGCGTAGGACTGGCAGATCGCTGGTTAGCACCATGTAGGACTGGCAGATCACTGGGTAGGACTGGGAGGGAGCTGGGTAGTGCAGTGTAGGACTAGGAGGGGACTGGGTAGGACTGGCAGGGAGCTGGTTAGTACAGTGTAGGGCTGGCAAGGAGCTAGTTAGGATTGGCAGATTACTGGGTAGCACTATGTAGGACTGGCCGATCACTTCGTGGGACTGGCAGATCGCTGGGTAGCACTATGTAGGACTGGCAGGGAGCTGGGTAGTGCAGTGTAGGACTGGCAGGGAGCTGGGTAATGCAGTGTAGGACTGGCAGGGAGCTGGGTAATGCAGTGTAGGAGGGCACTGGGTAGGGCAGTGTAGGACTGGCAGGGAGCTGGGGAATGCAGTATAGGGGGGCACTGGGTAGGGCAGTGTAGGACTGGCAGGGAGCTGGGTAGGAGGACTGGTCGCTCTGAAGTCATGGCAGGCACTAGCTGCGCCTCTGATATAGTCCTGACCTTCTCAGTGGACTCTGTGCAGGTGGTCCCGGGCCTGTTGGCAGTTGCTGTGGTTCTGGGAGCTGTGATTGGAGTCCTTGCTGCAGGACTGCTGTGCTGGTATGTGCTTTTGCCCCTGCTCTCCAAGAGGGTAAGTGATCAATGTCCTTGTGTCAGGTACACGTTATATTATTATTATTATTATTATTATTACTGACAGATCAGCCTGCAGATTGCTTGTGTAGCTCATCTAATTACAATGAATGAGCCACAAGAAAAGCGATTGATTGCTGGAGGTTTTAGTCTCTGAACTGAAAATCACTTGTGTAGCCCAAGTGTTGAGGTGCCCTCAGACACCTTACAATTATCTGCCAATTTTTGGCAGCAATCGCGTTTGCGTCCGAAAATCTTCCAGTTGATGGGAAGTGCACAACCGCAATTACTGTACAACTGGCAGATTTTCATCTTTCAAGCAGACAATAAAATTTTCCTCTAGTTGTACAAAAATCGACAACAACAAATCTGAAGATAAAAACTGCACATGCTCAAACGAAAATTTGGTCATTTGATTGGCGAAAATTGGCCAGTTAGGCCCCATTCATACCAGGGCGACAGCGTTTCAGCGCGTTTTCCATGTGATTTCTGGAAGGGCGTTTTTATGAGTGTTTCATCGCTGGAACGGGATTAAAATGCCCAAATACGCTCTGATCAGCATATTTCTATTGAAGCCTATATAGAAATGACTGATCAGCACTGAAAAAGTAGCTCAGGGAGCAGTTCGTGCGACAGGAAGATTGAAACGCGCGATTGCATGAACGGCGCCATATTAATGAATGGGCTTTTAAATGGTGTTTCATAGCAGGACAAATCCACCAAACGGCAATGCCCTGGTGTGAACGGGGCCATCGTGGAGCTGACGAACGATTATCGCGATCTATTTTGGCTGTTTGAACGAAAATTGAACCAGGGTGCGATAGCGGGACAATAAAAGTTGTACAATGGGTTGTAAGGTGTATGGTCACCTTTAGGCCCCATTCACACTGAGCGACATGAAAATCGCGCGATTTTATATGAGCGATATTGAGCGACTTTTTCCTATTGGGCTGTATGCAATCAGGAGCAAAATCGCTCGAAATCGCTTGAAAAAAGGGTCATGCGACGAGCTACAAGCGATGTTGAGCGATAATGAGCAACGAGATGTGAACATTGAAATGGATTGGAGAAGCTACATAGAGCGATATCGTGTGAAAATATGAGCGATATCGCTGCAAAAATCGCTCGATAAATCGCTCAGTGTGAATGGGGCCTTAGGCTCAAATCCCAAGAGTAAGGATCTCTAATGTAGTCATGTGACTTCAATTTTCAGATTTTATTGGACTATAAGTATCATTATCCCGATGTAATCACTTTGTGAATTGAGCATTTTGTCCGCTCTGGTTTTTGGATTCAGAATTGCATTTCTTTTGAATAGCTGACAGTCAATTTTTGGCTGCTGACCATAGATTGCTGGATTTACACCTTTTGTGCACTTTGGCCCTCTTCACTTAAAGGAGAACTATGGGGTTCTATCTTTTTTTTATGAATGCATTCCTTAGGCTAAATAAGTAAATAATGTAATTTACGCTAATTAGCCAAAATGCACAGTAAGGCTTTAAAACCTTATTTAAGGTGGTGGGCGGGGCTAAGCGCCGCAATGAGAAGACATCCCCACGTATCTGACGGAATCCTCCCCACTGTGACTGACAGCGATTCTTGAGAGCTGCGGCGCGTCCACGAATGTATGGACATGCGCAGCAGCTCTCTCCTTACCTGCACGTCCCCGTGTGCCAGCTCCTTCCCCCCCTCTCTCTCTCTCTCTCTCCCTCCTGACACTGACATACTAAAATGATCGTGGATCGCTGATGACAGAGGGGAAGGAGCTCTCTCTCTTCCCACTGTGACTGACAGCGATTCTTGAGAGCTGCGGCGCGTCCACGAATGTATGGACATGCGCAGCAGCTCTCTCCTTACCTGCACGTCCCCGTGTGCCAGCTCCTTCCCCCCCTCTCTCTCTCTCTCTCCCTCCTGACACTGACATACTAAAATGATCGTGGATCGCTGATGACAGAGGGGAAGGAGCTCTCTCTCTCTCTTCAGCATTTACTACAAATGGGAAAGTCCATATATGGTAAATTATGTCACTGGAGATCCCTGCTGATCGGATCCACCCACCACCTTAAATAAGGTTTTACAGCCTTACTGTGCATTTTGGCTAATTAGAGTAAATTACATTATTTACTTAGCCTAAGGAATGCATTATTAAAAAAAAGATAGAACCCCATAGTTCTCCTTTTAAGCAGACCATCTTGGGGATTTATTTTTTTTGAGCATTTATACCAGCGTTCCTGCAAGCGCTTCAGGCTTGAGCGTGCTATTTTTAGACAATGCAAAGCTAGTTACTGAGCAAAACAAAGTTTGAAAAACGCACTTTTGCGCATGTGTTTTGGACTTCTCGTTGAAGTCTTATTGGGGTGAAAATGCTCCATAAGAAGCTCATGGACTTCTTCCAGTTACAAGCCCCAGAATACTTAGTTGTGAGAACAATGGGATTCCTCCTGTTGAGCGTTGTGGTACTCCAAGCTACGAAACGCTCAGGTTTTAATGTGGCGCGCTTTATTATTTATGTATTACAGTGTTTCCCCGAAAGTAAGACCTACCCCGAAAGTAAGACCTAGTGCTATCATCAGGGATTTCTGTAATATAAGACCTACCCCGAAAATAAGACCTAGTTCGGTGGTAGGTCTTATATTACAGAGATCCGCTAGGTCTTACTTTCGGGGTATAATAGAATTTTACATGTCACGGCCGCAGCTCCCTCCCTCCCACCTTTCTGGCTCCATACACGGCATTAGGGCAGAGAGCGGCCCCAGTCCTATAGGCGGTCTAAGAAGCCGCATAGCACCTGTGCTGCCTCCCACTTGGGTACTCTACTGTGCATGTACTCGCCATTTTTCTTCTACTGCCTACTGAGCCGACTCTGCAGTCCTACACAGGAGGTTCAGAACTCTGCGCCACTACATGGGGTGTACTTCTCAGGAAGTGGCGGGTCATAGATGTGGGAATGTATGGACAGAAGACTCTGGGGCTTGAGACAGCGGTTCTGGGGAAGGCTTTGTCCCCTCTGGGGACACTGTTTCTGCTAGCTCTATGCTCTGCTTCTTTTTCCTGTCACTACCCAGCTCAGGATCATTTGCAGCACTCTCCTGGGCAGCCTCCTCTACACTGCTATCCCGAGAGCTGTTTACTTCATTAGTGTCTGAATTTATAAGGAAAATATCTGACCTATTAGAGTCCTCAGACCACAGGAGTCATAAGTGAGCCCGCTCTCCTGCCCTCTCAGAGTCCTCCTCTGACCTTCATGTATCTGCTTTTGTTCTGCGTGAGGAAGAATTTCTTCTAATTCTATGGATTCAGCCCAGGAGATGGGCCTGTCTCTTGACATCTCTCCTAAGCTCAGTTGTCATGGTGCATAATTTTTGCAAATTAGAACCGCTTACACCAGCTTTGCCAAAGCTCACTGGTCTGGGTTCTTTAAAAATGCCCAAACCTGCCAAAACCTTCTCTGGACATTATACAGCCGGTGTGGTATGGTGACTGGGACTTACTCCTCCTAAACCAGGGGTGTCCAAACTCCGGCTCTCCAGCTGTGGTGAAACTACAAATCCCATGATGCATCTCTCTTCGGGAGTCATGTCTGTGAGAATCTTGCAATGCCTCATGGGATTTGTAGTTCCACCACAGATCGAGGGCCGGAGTTTGGACACCCCTGTCCTAAACCGTTTGTTCAGCAATACCTTATTGAAGAGGGTTTACGTAAAAAATTAAAATTTAACAACCCCAATAGAGGATGTTTCTGTAACTTAGTAGCTCTCTCTAACGCACTTTTTTGACATTGCAGGTCCTGTTGTGCATCTGCTTTTGCCACAATGCCGACGTGTCACACCATATCCCTATGATTTGCGCTATTGCATCAATGGCCTGGTAGATATCCAAATCACCAGAATGGGTCTCATGTCTGTACACATGCAGTATTGAAGAAAATAGGTCACCAGCACTCCATAAGTTAAAATGAATGAGTACTTTTAATGGACAATGATGTCACAGAAATCCTGTGACATCATTGTCCATTAAAAGGACTCATTCATTTTAACTTATGGAGTGCTGGTGACCTATTTTCTTCAATCTTGTGTTTTGCACGGTGCCATCCGTGAAGTTACTTCGAGCACCATTTATTTGATTGTTGGCCGGGACTGCTGAAAGGTGTGCGGAGGGCACCTCCATCAACTGTACACATGCAGTGACTCATATGGCGTAAATGCTGGTCTGTGGAAGTTCCTTGCAAGAAGCGCCTCAAACACAAGCTCTTTACTGGGGAACACCTGTTCAGCAAATCCTTGGATACTTACATTAAAAGAGAACTATGGTCCAACATTTTTTGGCCATAGTTCTCTTTAGGTTCACTATGTCCTCCTGTGACCCAAAACTCAGCATATAGCGGGCATACAGGGGTCCAGCTGCGACCAGTCCAGGGGTCGCCTTACTGTTAATTTACCGTTAAAATAGTGTTCATGTTTGCATGAAGGTTCTGGGTTTGATGGTGGTATGCTTCAATAAAGTCCCCAATGCTTAGTTTCACCCCAGGCCATCAGGCACAGACAAATCGTTTCAGTCCCTGGACCTCGCCATTGGCTTGTTTAGCAAGACCAGGCTGGCCCTAGTATGGTGGATCTCGAGCTCGGCACTGATATTGGGGAAATCCTTTATTCCAATGGTTTGGATAGTGCTCATAACAGATGTCAGGCTGGGGAGGAGTCCTGGAAACCTCTCGGAATAAGGGACCTGGTGAGTAGATGAATCTTGCTTCCCAGCCAACATCCTAGAGATCAGGACAATTTGGTTGTGCTTTCAACACTGGACACTCCAGCTACAGGGCCAGTCAACCAGGATTTAGTCAGAGAAGTGGACCCGATTTTAGCTTGGGCGGAATTCATGTTCTGGCCTTGTTCACCTGGAGAAAGGTCCTTTGACCCGCAGGTGTTTTGGGCCCTTTTTCACAGGTGGACCTCCTGGCATCCAGGTTCAACAACAAATAGACAAGTTTGTTATCAGGAC